ATATATAACAAATTGCCCATTATCTTATATGAACTACTGATGCCATTAACAGGTGGCCACTTTTGACACACTACAGGGAGACTAAATGCCCACAAACGGCTAGCAAGTTTATTCCAAAACTGAGTTCTTTGCTGGGGAGGAAATCAAATTAACATTTTTGGTACAGGCAATATTGCAAAGCCAGTATACAGCAACTCCTATGTACATTTCCTGCTTAAAGATAAGCAATATTTTAAATTCTTCACTCCTAGACCTATTAGTAGTGATCACCATAAGGTTACATAATAACACTTTGTAAAAGAAGCAGAGCAGGAACTAAGGCATATACACATTTAGTCTAAAAGTCTTCTCCATACTGACCGTGTCCTTAACAGCCATAAAACAGTGGCAAATCCATCTTCTTGTTGTTCCATCACGACAGATATACGAGAACGCTCTGTCAAAATTCCTGTCCGGAGCACAGAATGACACTTTCTCTATTGTTTGGTCTACTAAAAGATCCTGTATGAGGAAGTAAAACCTCAGGTTACTAAGCAAGCACAGTATTTATAATGTGGGGGGTCAAATAGGAAATGATACAATAAGCTTAAGTCTGACACTACCCTTTATAAAGGCTCACAGAAGTTAAAATGCTTCCACTGCATAATGGCTCACAGAAGTTAAAATGCTTCCACTGCATATACCACACAAGTTGGTTTTCCTTTGCAGCAGTGACCTAATGTTATACTTGTAAAGGGACACTGCTCTAATTGTGTTAAGCTCCCTCATTAGGAGTGTCAGCCATCATGGACACCAGATACTGTATCTGCAGCTGACAGACTGCTCTTCCAAGACTCAAACTTGTCCACCAGAGGATATAACCGTTCTTTCTGTTGAACACTAGAGTCAAACAGCTAAAGTACAGAAAGTGAATCTGACCTGTCCTAAAAAGTGGCTAGGTTGGCAAAAGGGCCTCGCCTGCGAGTACTGCATGCGTTAATCAAATCAATCCCAGTGGCTTAAAAGTAGTTGCCATTTTTTTAGTTCTGAAAACTAGACTGTTTGAATTGGCACCAATAATTTGGTCATTAACAAGGCAAAAAAAAGAAAGCAATTTTTGGAGGTTTATTCTGTGCTCTGCAGAAGGTTAGGGGTTAGGCTATGGCCAGATACAGGCTCAAAGGTTAGGGGGTTAATTTCAAGTGCCAGGTTACAGTAAGGGAGAGATCGGATAGGTTTTGGTAATTGTAAGTGCTATTTATGTGTTCGTGGCTTACCTTAAAGGTTAGGTTAAGGGTAGGAGGAAAGATAGGGGTTGAAAAAAGACACAGGTCCATCAAGTTCAACCTTTGTGTGTCTGTGTGAGTTGTGCATGCGTGTGGAACATACCTTCCTATGTTATGGTCTCTGAGGAAGATATCCAACTGATTTTTGAACACATCAATACTCTCTGCTGATACCACTGCTTGTGGCGGAGAGTTCCAAAATGTAACCGCTTGAAAATTAAAAACGAACTGAAAAGAAGCCCCTATGCCCTTTGTGGATAAAACTTTTCTCCACCAATTTTAGGTGGTTGTCTCTAGTCCAGGTTTGGGAGTTTACAGTAAAAAGTTTAGTGCCAATGTTGCCATCACCACTAAACATCATCAGGTGAGGTTAAAAGCTGAAGACATAGGTGCTCACAAAGGTGACCATTGTGACCTATGTTACAAAGGTCACCAAGAGTTCCAACAAATAATCAGCCATTCAAGATCATGATTCCAAAAGTTATTGTACTATTCCTTTGGAACCCCTTGGATATTAGGCTCAGACTGTATACTTGGCCTCTGACAGTTGAGTGACAATGGCTGGGGCTTTAGCTCAACCTGTAGGGAAATAAATACCAGAATCTCTACTATTTAATAGCTGAGTAACGGCTTTGACTTTGTGTAAAGTTTATGTACAGGTTAGACCTAGAATCTAAAACACTCCACAGGGTCTCATTTGAAGTAAACCTGTGAGAATAAAAAAAAAAAAAAAAAAAAAAGGTGTATTTTTTTAAAATTTTCACAGCCAAATTGGGATAACACAGATGTCATATTTATTACATGTTCCATTCACATAGCATAAGCTAAAAACAAAAGAAGAAAATGCTTCTTGCAGTTTAAATTGCCTTTACTTGGGTTAGGGTTTTAAGGGTAAAATTTCCTCTTGCTTCTATTTCTTTGAAATGTTAGGAGGGCTGTGAGGGCTCTTGAGGTGGATGTTAAAGGAGAACTATGAGGTGAGTGCTTTTCACTCACCTCATAGCTCTAGCCGACCTGTGACAATGAGACTGTCACAGGTCGGCTCAGTAGATCGGGAGGTGAGCGAACAGTTGACGGTGTTCGCTCACCTCTCGATCCTGTCACGGCTCTCTGCCGTGACAGGGGAGGGGCTGGATTCCCCCCTCCCATCCGCCAGTGCTGACTGGCGGAACGGACGGGGAGGGTACAGCTGGCTCTGCCTCTAGATAGGCAGAGTCAGCTGTCAGTCACGCAGCTGGGCGGATCCTGGCACAATTGTCGGGATCCGCTTTAGCTGCGGCGTCTCAGTATAGCGCGAGCTGTAGCTCACGGTATACTGAGCCTAGGGTGACGGGAGGACGCTAGTTTGTGTCCGCCCGTTACCCTAAGGAGAACTATGGGAAAAAGACTTAACCCCATAGTTCTCCTTTAATGAAGATTATCAGATTAACACAATCCTCAAATTTCAGTCCCAAGTCTTTCCATTGGGACAGACCACTGTGAAAGGGCTACGAAAAACCTGGAATCAGCCATTTTGCCTGATTTAACAGTTATTTAAAGTTATTTTTCAGCATGCTGTGTGAATAAGAACACAACGAACATATAGAGGGGTTCTCTCAAATTTTACTGCGAAAGTGGAAATACACTTTAAAATAATGGAGCTGTAGTAGCTCTGGGGAGGTCATAATGATCTTGACTTTACTAGCTACCAAGTCCCTCACCTAGAACAAGAATGCAGTCAATAAAGTCTAATAATTGTGAATTACCGCCCTTTTCAAGGTCGGTGATTGAACAAGTAGTAAAACCAGGAACAGGATGACAGGCCCGAATGCTACACCTCTCAAAACAATAAATGGCAGTCTCCCAATTGCTAGCCTCAGATTCACTTTAATTTATTTTTAGGTCAGTCCAGGTTTACTTTAAACTCACTTTGTTAGGCAGATTGAAAAAAAACAAAAACCTGTTTGTCAACAAAATCTACCAATATAAAAAGGGATGAAGTTGTCAAGAAGTGTATAACCTTTGTCTTCTCGTCCACAACTCTAAGTCCATCGGCTGAAACCCACAGTACGGCCTTGATTGCCTTCTTGCCGGTCTTTAAAGGAAGAAAAGAAAATGTTACAATTTTGTATACAAAATATTTGTTTCTCCAGCAACCTAAAATTAAAGTCAATCAAATCTAAAGTTTATGGGAAGCCAATGCCGCGATACCCAAGATCCATGCCAAGTCACTCACCAAAGCAGAAGAGGGAGTCAGAAAAGCAATGTAGAGAAAGGGTGAGAGGCATCTCAAAAGGGAAGTATTTAGAAAACAAACACTACTGCAAATGTTATTTGGGATGGAAAGAATTCTAGATCAAAATTCTTTACCTGGACTGGAAAAACTACCAAAAACCGAGGAAATTGTCACACATATGTAAGGAGTTACTCCACTGGTACTTGTATTAGTAAATTTGTAGCACACTGAAAAATGGCATTTAGGCAGCCCAGGTTCAGCACATTTTGCACTCTCTAGTTAAAACTAAACAAATGAAAACTCCAGGTAGTGTCTTAGCAGTTTTAGAAGCAGTAAATTGATGACCTTCAGATAATCAACCACTGCACTTCAAGTTCCATTACACTTCTGTTCCTTGTCCTCTGCTCGGCAAAGTATAGGGTCATGTGGAAATCTCCGTAGATATCTAGAAGGATAACTACTTAAAGCGACACTAAAAACTCAGGAGTTAAATCTTTAAAATGCTTTCAAGTGCCTTAACCCCTTAAGGACCAAGGCCATTTTTTTGTTTTTTGTTTACATGTTATAATCCACATTTTAGGCCTGAAAATTACTTCAAAACCCCCAAACATTATATATTTTCTGAAAGCCAAGATCCTGTAGAATAAAATGGGGGCAGTTGCAAATTTTTATGTTGCATCATATTAGTGCAACTTATTATCAAACCCAAAAGTTTGAGAAACATGCACTTAAGTTAAATTTAGTGCCCCAAAACACAATATATAAAATCCTTTTTTTTTGGCAAAATATAAAAGATAAGTTTACATCTAGTAAATAGATAACCAACATGCCCAGGTTAAAAATTGTGTGCGTCCATGAACCTGCAACAAAATTTTGTATCCCAAAAAGTCCATAGACGACGACATGGGCCGTGAAGGGGTTAACTATTAGCACAAATGTATCTTATTTGTCTATCACTTGGCTGTAGATCCTCAAATCATGTGAATTGGTGCCGACACTGTCCTTCTTTCTGGAGGGTGGCTACTTTTGTTCCCCATGGTCCCTGTATGGGGTGTAAAGTATTCACCGCTCCAAGCTCCCTTCCGTGATAGACTAACTTCAGAATAAATTAGTAAACGAAACGTGAGAATGTAGTCCATCCCAGCAGCGAGCTTGGAGTGGTGGCTACTTTACAACCCACACAGGGACCATGGGGAACAAAAGTAGCCACCCTCCAGATGTAAGGACAGTGTCAGCACCAATTCAGAGATGATTTGAGATCTACAGCCGGGTGATACACAAAGATACATTTTTGCTCATAGTTAAAAGGTACTTGAAAGCGTTTTAAGATTTCATTCCTGGAGTTTAGCGTCACTTTAATTCAAAATGTTGCAGAGTACAGGGACCAGAAGTGTCCAGCGAGAGCAAATTTGTAAATTCTAATCTCCTGAAAGACACCACCTTACACCTACCTCTGACAAATCAGTTAACAGAAACCTCCTGGATGTTCCCAATAAAATAACTTTACCAGTTACCCAAACCACAGAAATTGTACCTGAACATGACTGTACTAGCCTTGCAATCAGTTTATTCAAGCCTGGGGAGAACATGCATCCATCCAGGTTCAGCCTACTCAAAAGGGTTTAACTTCTCTCCAAGCTAACATGAAAGTCCTTTCCCTTCTGCCACCAAGCCCTTCCCCTTAACACAGCTGGCAAATGGCAGAACCTCAATGATTAATAGGAGGTCACTGTAGTGACAAATTGATGACACAGGGTGGGGCCTAAACACTGCTTGAAGGGAATCCGAGACTGCATGCAGCCTAGGATTGAGGGTCTTCGCTAGATAAAAGAAATGGACTGGAGGGGAGAAAAAAAAAAAAGGTTCCTATACTTTACCAGTAAGGTTTAGTTTGCTGGAAAGGTGAGGCTCACTTTGAAGATAAGTGCACTGTTAGGCAAAGTGCACTTATCCTTTTATTCCTGCTCCCCTGACCCAACAGACCCCATCCTCCCTCTCCACAGATGTATACTTACCTTGATCAGATGATCCACCTCAGGGGAACGCTTACCTCCTGCTCCGCAAGTCCTCCTACTGGCTGCACTTGCATTTCAGAGCCCCAAAGACTTCTATGTGACTCGTCTCCCTGCATCTCCATGCCAGGATATGGATTTAAGCCGTCCATAAACCAGTAGAATTTAGTTGTAAAAAAAATTAATAATTTTTGGAATGTTTGTTTGCTGTTCTTATAGCTAACGGGGTCAAATTGACAATTAATTTAGACCGTAGTGACGAAAAAAATCCTGCAGGAGCAGGATGGAAAATGCTACAATTAAACATAACACTTTTACAATTAAATTGGTAAGGGTTAGACCCTCTGTTAGGAGTCTCAGCTTAATATGTCCGTGAACTCTTACGGCATTTCTTGGGCAGCTCCCGTAACCTTACTCCCTTTGAGCCCCAATGCCGTTCGGCTCCACTGTCACCGGGTCTTGTTTCTATGCTATACTTCTTTTTAATCTCAGACTAACCCGCACCAAACTTTTGTACTTGAGCAAATGGAAGACCGATTTAGGAGAGTACCTGAATATGGCGGAATAGGGGAGGATCTGGAGAGCTGCTGCCACATGTTTGCCCAAGGTTTTAGAACAGCAGAACACGCAAAAGGCTCCCCTGCTTTCGCTTTAAAGACTGGAGCGATGCTAAGCTTTTAGTCTGCCCTTTACTGTTCTGGTGCTATACTGCTTCCTTCCCATACCACTTCTCTCCACCCCCCCTTTCTTTCCTTCATGAGTTTTGCAAAAGTTGAACATGACCCTCCTCTTGTTCTTGCGCGCATATGTGCAATAATTATAATTCAAGTGTCTCGGGAAGGGGGGGGGGGGG